ACTCGACATGTGTGCCATCGCTGGCGTCCATACCATCGAGCCGTCGATCGGACCTCTCCTTATCGATACTGCCTTTGATTTGTTTGGCACCCATTTGCCGGTCACTAAGAAGTCCCTCCAGATTGTAGCCAATGGTTCCCACGATCACCGCGAAGGGCAGCATAATGTATGGCGAGTACACCCGCAGCACAGCCCATACTGCCGGCAACATATCTACTACTGGATCAGTTGGTGGTGGTGATGGCAGTGACGGACACACGCGTGGATCGGCTAATCACTGACTCGGAAGACGATTATCTCTTAACGCAAAGACATTCAACGATTGCATAAGTATTTCGTGGTCAATGGCATGGCTATGGGGGCTATACATAGATTACGTGCGCTTATAGTGAGAGGACACGTGTTTGCAAACGCATTGAAATGTACGGCAAACGCAAAGTTTGGGTCACTTTTGCGTTTGACGTACACTTTGGGCGAAAGTTTTATTTACAAATTCAATGTTTTGCGCTAAAAGTCAAACCAAACAAAAGTTAAACTAATTTTTCAAATCATATTTAAATCATAAATTGTCTTCAATTTGATTGTGAATTGAGTTTAAAGTGGTTTTCAGTATATTTACCACAAATATAGGCCACAAATGGGTTACAAAGTGGGAGACGTTGTAATGAAATGCAAACCATTTGTGCACTCATTGAATGCCTCCCAAAAGGCCCAGCGATGCGACCATTGCTTCAAAATAAAGTAAGTTTTGGGAAAAAGTTTTGAAAACTTTTTTAATTAATTATTGGTTTGATTTGTGTCCAGCGATAACCTCCGGAAGTGCTCGAAGTGTAAGTCGATGTACTATTGCGATCAGAAGTGCCAAAGAAGTGATTGGAGTGATGGTCATCGACACGAATGTCATTTATACGACACTTTCTATGATAACTGTTTGACCAGAGATTGCGATCGATTCCTCTTAAGACTTCATCTGATGCTCGAAAACAATGACCAAAATCGGACACAAACTCATGAGTTCAACGGCCAGAAGCGGTGTTTCGAT